AAGGGGGTCCCCCACTGCGGAGGCACAGCTCCCTTTCTCCTCACCGCCCTCAGAGAAACTCCCGTGGCTCTCTCCTCGCACTGTCCTGTCCCGGTGTGCGCTCGGTGGCTGCCAGGGTTGCCCTGGAAAGGTGAGGTGTGTTGGCGAAGGACAGGTGGGCATGGCTCGGTGCCCTGGCTTCCCCCGCAGGGAAAGGGACACATGTGCGCAGAGAGTCACCTGGCCCCGGTGGCAGAAGTGGCTGGAGGAGTGTCACCGCCAGCGTGCCTGCTCCTCCCCGCTGGTGTGAGCGCTCCCGGGGGCCGTGGTTCGGATACAGGAGCTTCCCGTGAGGATAGACGAGATGAGGCAGATCCCTGCGAAGATGACCTCCTGAAGGAGTCTGAGAAACGAGGGCAGGCGGTTGTTGCCCTTTCCTTCCCAACTGCAGGCGGGGGGCGATGTTCTCCTTCTCCCCTGTGCCCCACTGCTGGAGCCGTGTTGTGACACAGCTGCAGGAATGACCCCTGAGGACTGTGGAAGCCAAGCCCCACAGCGAAGAACACACCGTATTATAATGTTTCCAGGGGCTGAAGGTGTGTGAGGCCTCGAGAACTGGGAAAGGAGGATGGAAGGAAAAAAGTTTACGTGGAAGAGAGAAATAAAGGGAAGGGGAAAGAGTGGAAATTTCACAGAGGAGCGAGGAAGGTGCACTTGAGGACAAAGTATAGTGCAGACAGAGATACAAAAGTAATGGGTGAAACAGGGAAAGAAGAAGGGAGGGTGGGGTGGATCAGCATGGATCCTGTTCCCCGGTAGCCCTGTGTTGTAATCCCAACTTGTCTGCTGATGTTTCAAGAGGAGGAATGAATAGGTAAGGTGTGGAGCATATTGCTGTCACATGTTATGGAGTCTGTCATGAGACATTTTAAAAGAAAGATTGGATGTGCACCTGTCAAGACTTAATGAGCCTTGGGACTCATCTTGGTAACCTCCTCTTATCCTGTTCTTCTGTAATTTCATGAAATCCCATCCTAGTAAGAAAGATTTTCATCATTTGTTTCGTACAGCATGTATGTGATCAGCCTTGGGAATTTTAAAAACTGGACTGGAAAAAGCCTTGAGTCACCTGATGTAACATCAGAGTTAGCCCTGCGTTGAGCAGAGGTTTGAACAAGGCGGTGTGCAGAGTTCCTTGCCAGCCTGAACTTTTCTGTGTTCCGCAGTTTACCAAAGTATGTTAGATTTATTATAGGCAGTTACTGACATTTTTAGTGTTAACCTTTCCTCTGTATCCTGAAGCTGAAGAACTGGACACACGGGATAAGTGAACTCATTTACCTCTTCAGTCAACACTTCCCACCATGATTAAAAATGTAACACTGACTTCAAGCAGCTGAACAATGCACTGAATTGAATTTGGAGGTCTTCATCTTTCGTCTGACCTGAAATGAAGGCTGTTAACATCTCCTTTACAGTTACTGGAATACTGTGGCATGCATAAACTTGAGTATTTTTAGGATGCTTTGGCTTGATTTGGTCAATACTTTTTGTTCAAGTTCTACAGCTTTTGGAAGGAGGGACATTCTTTAATTTTTATAACGACCCAATACTGCTAAAATATATTTTTTTGATGAAGGAAACAGGAGTGGGTTTTTTCAGTCTTTTATATTTTTATTACTTCTTTTCCTGGGGAGAGCTTTAGATTCACAGCACAACAGGGTCACTGTGCCAGGTGCTGCAAAATCAAGGCAAAAAGTCAGTCTCTTGTCCCGCAGAACATGCAGCATAGCATCTTACAGGATTGTTTACTTCTGTGTAAAGGGACTTGATTCTCCTTTCTCTGTGCTGTCACTTAGAGCAATGCAAAAGGATGGTGAAGTGAGGATATAACCTCACTTTGTATAAACTCTGTGAAGTATGTAGATTACGTGCAAGACAGAGGAGAATTAGGCCAAAGTTATTTCTTCATCAGGTTTCTGAAACTTGGTTTCTCTCCTCAGCAATACAGTACTTTTGTCTTGATTTGTCTCCAGACAAAGGCTGAAAGAAGCCGTAAGAAGTGTCTTAATTTTGAAGTGTTTGGCCACAAAATGGAGTGAAGTTTACATCAGCAGTCGTGCTAAAACCAAGGGAAATACTTACATGAAAGCAGAAAATTTTTTTTCTGTCTTTCCAGAAGTCAAGATAGTGTTGCAATTAATGGGGCCTCCTAAATGTTAGCTTAATATTTGGATTACTGGTTTATTTCAGCAGCATTAGCTGCTATTCCAGAATTTGTCAAAATGGCAACAATGAAAATATACACATACTGGTATTTTGTTGCAGTGATTTAAAATGGTATTCCTAAATGTGAAAGTTTCCAAGAATAACTTCCAAACTGCCTGAATCATTTACTGTTTTTATTATTGCTGAACAATGTGGTAATAACAGAGGCCAAGACTTTCAGAAATTATTTCCCAGAGCTGTTCTACTTCAACCCATATTTAGACATCTGAAGAAACGAACCTGCAAAAATTCAGTAAGATTTACAAATGTAGCTGGCATTCCTGTGTTTGAGAGCCTTTTCCAGCATGCAGAAGTGTGTGATTCGTAGCCTACTTCAGGCAATTTCTTTATAACTTTTTAGTTTTGGCTTGATATTTGTCTTGATAAACATGCAAGTTTTAAAATTTTTGCTTTCTCTAGATTTATTTTTAACCATCTTCATACCCTTTGCTTTTTATGTGCCATTGTAACACAAAACAAGGAAGTTGAGCACTGTATAAATACAAGATTGTTTGTTGACATTATTTTCCTTGTTTTAAGGCATCATTGAAAATAAAGCATTTCAAACCAGATATTTTTGAAAATCGATATGTTTTCAGTTACTGAAATAATAGCTTGATGTGGAAAACTCTCAAAATCATGCCACTATCCTTGTAGGGGAGTTCTGCACAAAGGTCCTTTGTATGTTTGGGTTCTTGGTATCCATTTCATTGACTTGGCCTTCTCTCCATTCTTTGGGTTTTGTGTTCTCTTTATTTGAAAACAGCACTTGGTATTGTGTGTTCCCTTACGTGCTAAGATCTCGAACTAGTTTCCCAAATGCATTTATTGGATTGTCTCTAAGGTAGGAAGGGTTGTAGCAGCTTAGCACATTAACAGAGTGAAATGTTGAGAGCTTTTAGTTACTCAAAGTAAGAAGGTACTCCTGTTCAATGCCTAGAAAGAATCCAAAGACTGCCTCCCTAGTCCTATATTTTAACTGCTGAGCAACACTAATTTCTGACTTACATACTTCTCAGCAGAGATGAAGTGATATTTAATCATGGGCCAGGATTCTTGAAGGATGCTGATGTTGAATTTTTCAGGACAAACAAAGTCTGGGCAGAGAGTTTTGCAGAGAAGAATAAATGCCTTGGGGAAATGCATATTCCTTCTGTGCAGTATCGTAAAACTTTGAAGTAATTTTCCCAGATTTGAACCTGGATTTTTCAGGTACATTAGAGATTCCTGTAATAGGGGATAGTTAAAGCACTTTCTCTCTTACAGGACTGACATGTTTATGAAAGTACTGGAGTTTATGCATGCCCCTCATTTAAGCAGATGAAGCTAATTATTGTCATGGGAGTTAGCTGTACAGATGGAAAGACATTTCCAGTTAGCATCAAATAGATTGGATTTATCAAAGTTAAGACTAAGGATGGAGCATGACTTTGTTAAAGGGACAGTCTTTCCTCTTTAATTATTGTAATGGTCTAGCAAATTCTTGAGCTTGGCATTATTTTGAAATATCTTTGTTTCTCGTCTCAGGAGCTGTGTCAGCAACACAGTTCTTTGTTTCTGATGATTTCACTACAACAGACCAAGGGAATTCATGTGTTTAAGATAACACAAGTCATTATGTTCTTCCCCTGTCCCCATTTGCTGACGAGGATGAGTTAGGAGAATGGAGAAAGTACAGGGTATCTCTGAGTGGGTGTATCTCTTGTGCCTGTTATAGATGAACACTCAGTTGTTTGGTCTCATTACATCAGCTCACTTTGGCAGTGACCCTGTAAGAATTGCTCAAGACAGTTGAGAGTGAACAATACTGTGTAAATTATCTCATTGGAAAGGGGTGCTTTTAATGCAGTCTGACATTAGAGAAGTAAAGTGAGCAAGCAGTGGTGTTTGACCCAGAGTCCTTAACATGGTTTGAATTACTGTAGTCAGCAGGCAGATATTCAGGATTTTTTACATTCCTAATTATGTTGGAAGGACTGTCTGTTAGCTGGAGCAAGAGACTGGGAGTCAGGATTTGGCCATAGCATTTTATCACTTCTCCTCCTTATGTCTCAGTTTACCTATCCATAATACAAGAACTAATTTCTATGTGTTTCGAGATTCTGAATAAACAAAATCAAGCAAAGGTAAAGGCTTATTATTTCTGATTGATTTTTATTTTTTGCTATGATTTGCTTATGATTCTTTTTAATATTTCCACTCAGGATTAAAACCATTTGCTTTTTTTTTCTTTTATTGAAGACTCGGTCTTTGCTCAGTGTGTTTGAAGAAGATGCAGGAACCCTTACTGAATATACAAACCAGTTGCTTCAGGCAATGCAACGAGTCTATGGTGCTCAGGTAATTTTTCATTTGTGTTTCTTTTGTTCACGGTGGAGTAGAAGATGAATTGCTATTATGATGCTGTTATTTACATGAGAGTTGCAAAGTACCTGTACCTCTTGTGGTTTAAGGGGAGTCGTGGGTGTTTTTCATCTGGTATCTCAGCCCCTTCCCTCCTTAATGCTCAGAAAAGTCATATTTATGAAAAAGATCTTGTTTTCTTTGTCTGTCTCCAAGCAATTCATGAAAGTAAAATTGTGGTATGTCCTTACCTTAGGGTGCATTGAAAGGCCAGTCTTGACAAAATTGCTTACCTAAATGTAAACACAATACACAGGTACTCACACTGACTTTAGGCACCTAACTTAGATGCTGTGACTCACCTTTTGGAGGGAACTGTCTGTGTCTATTGATTACAGAGAGAATGTGCACTTTGGATCATACTGAAGTCAAGTACCTACAGTAGCCAGAGTGAAAAGTATGGGAGCAGGAGCAGAAAAAATAACATTTTCTAAAGTACTTACATGACCTAGATGACTGAATCCCCTCAAAATTATATCCAGTGCTTTGGAAAAGGTTACTGTAAATCTGAGTGATTTTCAGTGACACTGATTCCCATGTGCGTAAAACTCGATATTTCAAAATACCCTGTCTAGGTCTTGAAAGACATACACAGTGTGTCATGGAATTTTTGCAAGTATTTATGTAGGTTAGATACCTGAGTTCCCTAGAAACAGCTTTTCTATTCTTAAACCAGTAAATCAGAGTACACAGAGAGATGAGGACAATGGGGATATTTTGAATTTACCGGAAGAGTGCCTGATTCTGATATTATTAGGAATCAGTTCAGCTATAAAACTACTCCAAGTATGTGTCCATTTGGTGGGACTATGCTTTGAGTGACTGATAGTTTGACTTGGAAGAACTAATTTCCCAGGATCTAGTGACCTACACCTGGAAGATCCAGCTTTGGCGAGCTTCAAAGTCTTCATGTCGTGGATCTTGTGCAAATGCAGAGCAATCAGAGGCTTACAGCACAGCTTAGGTACATAGAAAACAATGCAGCACATAGCCAGGGGCTGGAGAGGTGACATGAAATCAGCACTGAAAGTCAGTGCTGGGCATTTTGGGAGTCTTTTTAAGAGCAGGAAGAGTATGGGCATGTTGGATAGTAGGAATCTGACACCAAAGATCAGGTAGGATTGAAACAGATGAAAGAAGAAACTCAGAAGATACATTTGATTTTCAAGGGTCCAGTACGTGTCTTTTTCCCCTGCTAATGACGTCTTAGGGTGGCATTTTAGGAAGTGGTTACTCTGATCTGTGATTTAAGAAAAAACACTTTATCTGCTTTTGTTTGCCTCTTCCTTTTCATCTTGGTTTTTAGCCTTCTCTATTTCTCTTGTTCCACGGTTATGACATTTCCTCTTTCTTCTCACTGTCACAGCACATTTACCCATCTGTATTTTGCAGTACTACTGAGTCTGCTTCATTTTCCCAGCACTTCTTGGCCACTTCTTTCCTGAACACTGCTTTAGTTTGATATATTCAGTCACTTGTGAGTATTGAAATATGTCTTCAGAGTTTTATGCCATTTTGAGAAGTAGAAATAGAAGGGTAATGCTGAATTGCCTACTAAACCTAAATGGGCAGTTAAGAAAAATCTGTGTGTAATATTTCTTGGCTGGCTAATCACAACTTGAGAGAAAAAGAATTTTTGTTGTGTTGTTAGGACACACATTGTCTGGACCTCAGCAGCAGCATGTGCTACCAACCCTGTAAAAGCTGAGAGTATGGAGAAATCAGTTTCTGAATTTGCCTTTTTATTTTCCTGACTTAAATTTTCTCTCTGCAAAGTCAAATTTTCTCTTTGCAAAGTCATTGCAATCCCCTGCTCTGATTTCCCTTTCTGTAAAATAGGAATTACAGTTACTGACCTACTTTAAGGCAATGACCATAAAAATGACTGGAATCACAGTCGTGGCAGTCAGACAAAGCAGTGAGTTGTACTAGTCCACAGTTTTGGAAATTAAGGGTTTACAACCCCTCAAAACACTTATGACAGTTTTAAAAATGTTAATTTTGTTTTCTTCCTAACTTTGTTCTGAACTGTAACATTTCCTAGATGTCTTACCACGTTTTCAAGATCCTTTTGGAGTAGTTTACTAGAACCTTGGTGTCTCTTGTGATGAAAACTCAAATTTTCGTGTAATTCAAACCACTGTAGCTTGTGATCAAATAACAATAGTTAATGGTTCTGAATGGATTCAGTGCAAAGTCTCAGGGAAGTAGTAATTATTACCAACTGCATGCTGCTAATTATCCTTGTGGATATATGCATATAGTTGTCTCAAAACACTGCTTTGTGTGTAGAGCAGCAGTAAACTTGTAAATTGACAGCTCAAGCTGCTTTGAACACTTTGATCAGCGAATTTGAAAGCAGTGTGAAAGAGAAATATTTGCCCAGAGTTTTTAAAAACCCTTAGGAAAATGGGAATCTTTTAAAACATCTTTTCAGACTTATGTGTATTCAAGCAGGACTTCAAGACTGTAAGGAGGGATCTGCAGCATCCTATCACAGGGTGTAGCACTGGATATGCTGCTCAGGCACCTGGAGCTGTTGGACGTGGAAGGGCCAATAACAGACAGGCTGGAGTTGGATGATCCATTGCCAGCAGGTTGCCTTTGGGTGCAAGGCCCTCAGAATGTCATGAGCCTCTGATTGCTCTGCAGGATGAGGACAGTGCTCTCACCTCTTTGGGCACCCATACCAGGTGTGACGGAGTGGTGACTCCCTCCTGCACATGGAGATCTTTAGTGAAAAAGAGGCTGTGATGCTGCGAGGCAGATGCAGTGTATGATGCCATGACTGGGGAGAAGTCACAGGAACCAAAAGCAGTGCTTGAGGAGTGAGGTTTGGTTGATCTGGCAAACCCACGTGTGTAAATACAGTGAAGCATTTTTATGTTCATCAAATAAACCACATCCTTGTGAGTATATGTTATACTTCCTTCTGTGTTGTGGTACCCTGAAGTAATCATGATATCGGTCTTGCAGAGTTCATTCCTGTAGTTCTTCCTCCTTGCAGGCAAGCCCTGATGCTGCGTCTGGCATTACTGCTGAGTTCTGTGAATGTTGTGTTTGTCATTCTGTACATTTTATTACCTGACCAATATATAATGCAGCAAACAAAGACTGTTAAAAAATTCAGTTTACTCAAGTTACAGTGCTGAGGCTCTTGCAATGGTGTATGAGCAAAGTGTGCACAGTTTACCTTCCTGACTTACCACTGTCATAGTAAGGGAGTTTCAGAGCTTTACTATTATTTCCAGTTCTCCATCATGCTGTAGAAATGGCTGAGCTGGGATCTTCACTTGAAACAAAATGCCATTTAGCAAAGACAGGAGACTGTTGTGTCTCTACTGACTATTAGAAGGGATAAACAGTTAAGCAGGTTAAAGGAAAGTAAGATGCAGTATTTTGTCACTGTAAATAGGTTTCATGTCATGAGTCCAGACAAATCTGTCTAGATACGAGGGGCAGTGATAACCGAAGGGGAGTAAAAAGAAACACATGCTGTCTTTGTAGATACATCTGGAGAGGGGGCAGCATGGGAATTGTGAAGTGTAATTCTGTTCAGCATCTGTATCTCTGTGAGCAGTTGTCTTGTAATTCCAGAGTCACACAGGTAAAGCTGCAACAACCTCTGGGGCTCACTGCCTTTTTATGTCCAGACTCTTAAGGAAACTCTTGACAATTATGGAATAGTCTTGGTTTATAGGTACCACATTACATGGGAATCAGGACAGCTTGAATCTGTCCAGGGCTGTTTTAGGTAGTGCTTCATAACAGTGTTACTTCTCTCCACAAATTCAGGACACCTCATGTCTGCATTTTTCTACAGTGCTGCTTGTTTCATTTTCCTGTGCATTGACTTCACTAGGCTGTGACTCAGTAGATAGGTGTCAGGCTCTCTAGGGTATGCATGAATTTTTATATTTATTATGTTGTAGAGCTAACTCTAAGTGTTCAGGGTTCTTAAATTAGTTCTTGCTTAAATAGCAAGTAAGCACCGATACAGTTTTTCTTTTAATTGCTTTCTTTTAATGTGTAAGGGAACTATTGTGTTCCCTTTTCAAATTATAAGACTTTTTTTTTCCCAAAACCTTTTAAGGAATAAAATTTAAGTTAGCATTTTGTAAACTTGTGGTTCCACATAGAGGAGCTTCAATAGATAGTAGAAAGGATAAACATTTGCAATAAACTGCAGTTGTGAGCACTGACTTCTGTGAAGTCCTGTATTTTTGTTCCATATTCATTGTAAGTATGCATCATATATCTCTTACCTTCCTGAGGCCTGTTCAGCATATGTTGCTAACAGAGGTAATCAGCACATTACCACGTGAGCACCAATGTGTTAACAAAGGCATGGGAGTTGGCTTTAATATTGCCTATAAAGTTGGAGTTGTCACCATGCCCAGAAGCAAGTTGACACTGCACTAAGCAGGATCTGGAGATTTGAGGAAGCATAAATGTACCTTGCTGGTAGTGATTGTTTTGAAAGAAGCTGGAGAGATTATTTCCATACTGAACTAGCCATCCTATTGTAGCTGCTTTTGCTGCTTTACAGTGGAGCTTTGCCTAGTGTCTTCTGTTTCTTGAGTCTGTCCTCTGCTGAGCTGTTCCTGTTTATGAGGACGGAATGCCATGCTGGGAACCAGCAGCAGGGCAAGCCATATGTTAGCCTGATCCTGTAAAGTGCTGCACAGCCTGATCACCCTGGTGAGGCTTAGCTCCTTGCAACTCTGGATTCATGTTTCCAAGCCATTTAATATGCAAACCTAAGCCTGTAGGACTGTGCCATTTACTAGATTGCTGGAGAATTCTACTTTGTAGGAAGATGATAAGCACATATAAATTGAGCTGCATAAAACAGTTGCATCAAGACCCAGTTCTTTTTGTGCTGTGCCTGATTTGAAGGTAGATGTGCTGCCTAGTTCTCAAAGGATGGGAAGGCTGCAACTACCTCATGGACCTTCTCCTTAACCTGGTTTTTTTTCCTCACTTATGGGGCATTAAGCTTTCCCAGATGCAAGCTAAATTTTATTATGTGTCATTCTGCACGTTCATAGTGCAGACCTTTACCAGTATCTTGTTGTTTATATGAAGTAAACACTGCTCTGTACTGGTTACTTGTAGGGTTTTAAAAATGCCAACTTTAGCAGGCATAGGAAAGTTGCTTTGCAGAAAGCTTCATTATATTGGGATTGGAATTGGACATGCTGGAGTAGTTCTGTGTCTGTAGATATTAATTTATAGCTCAACTTCATCCTTTACATGCCTCCAGATTTGTAGTCTGTTAGACAGCTGTCTATGGAAATATCTTCAGACTTCAGCAGATTATTCCTCAGAGTTGATTTTGGAAAAATACAAGAAGATACTCTAAAAATGGATGGATTGCCTCACTGGTAAATGGTTAATGGTGTGGATATTTATTGCAAAGAGGTTATAGAAAAATCATACTCTCTTCTGATGATATCGACAGCTTCATGAATAAAGGTAGTGAAGGTAGTGATAGTGAAGAAGGTGGAGTCAACACATAAAAAATCACATGCCTTTTCTCTGGCACTAGATCAGAAAATAAGTTGGACTTTTTTTTTTTTTTGCTGACTTATTTGAAGATAGGGTGAGGTACAGAAATAAGTTGAGAATTAAACAGGTTTTTTAATCAATGGTTTTTCATTTTTGGTAGATTAATGATAGATTGAAGACACAATTTCCATTACCTTACACATTTGAATTGGACTTAGTGAACTCTATATCTATAAAAATCTATTCCTAGGGCTGTCATGCCAGCCAAGGTTAAAGAAAAAAAAAAGAGTCAGCACATCTGTAGTCACTGCTGATTGCTTTATGCTTATTTACATACAGTCTTTTCTTCCTTCCTTCCTTCTGGTACACTTTTTTTACATTAATGCTGCAGTAGTGTTTTCCCTGTTAAGTAAAACCTTTTAGTGCAGATGACTGTATGTGCAAGGCCCAGTACTGGTTAAGTTTGCCTTCATTTAGAATACTTTGATTTCTGTTCAGGATTTTATTGAGTTTCTGCCTGATATTTAATGAATAGCTCTCCACTCCATAAATGTGTGATGAATTCTGAAATGTTAAGGTGATGTGGAGTCAGGATCATATCATAGTTTTTTCTTTTGCTGTGGTATACTGAATTTCAGTCACTTCAGGATAAAGGAAATGAATGCTGCTGTATTCCGTGGGAAAATGTCTTGCGAAACGATAAAACCTGTTAAAATGATTTGCCTGGATTTAGTGGATCTGTCAACTGAAGCAATGCAAATTCTTCTAAGACTTCTAAGTCTTGAGACTGATTGGTAGCAGAGTGGGGGGAGGGGAAAAGGCTGATTAGGAAGAAATGGAAGGAGGATTAAACCAAACTTTCCCAGATTAGCGTGTTTAGCAATGCAGTATTACCACTAGGTCAGCAGAGCACTTTGCCTGCTTCCTGTTCCTTGTGCAATGGACTGAGTTTCAACTTGATAGCTTGATTTGATTTGTTTACAGCTTTTGGGTGTGTGCCTGTGTTTGGTTTTGTTTTGATTTTTTTTGTTTGTTTGTTTGTTTTTCCCAAGTGATACAATGAATGACTTTGTGCTTCTAATGGGAACTAAGTCTGGCAGGTGTTGGGAGAGAGGATGAAGGACCCAGGATTAACTCTCCCACATGGGGTAGGGATTGAGTAACAAGTTGTGGTGTCCTGACACAAAGAACTGAGACTATAAATGAGAAATGCAACCTGCTGGCAGCAGTGGGTTATGAATGATGCATGGAACTGTTGTCCCAAAATCAACCTAAAATCCAAAAGTAAGTTTTGTGTCAGGCACATCTGTCAATTCGTTCTGTATCTGGAGTAGTTTGCTACAAATGTCTTCTTGGCATCTATAGTTAACTGCTGTTACCTGATCATGTACTTGGGAAGGTGTTGTTAATTTACACCCCTTTGAGACCCTCTGTATTCCCCTATTATCCTATCACATACTGGAGACTACCCCTGGGGAGTAGTGATCACTGGAAGTTGCTTATTCCACACAGCTCTTTTCATTGCCGTCTTCAAACTGTCCCACGTGTATGTCCCATGTGATGAGTAATAATGCTCCTTGTTACTCTTTGAACATTATGTGAGGAAATTGAGGGTTCAGTCTTTAAAAACCAGACTGGTAGAAGCTTGGGGGATGGCTAACAAAAAAAGGATGCCTTTGGTGTCAGCCCATTATTCTGAAGCTCCTTCTAGTGTTAGCAAGTTTAACCCAGAAGAATATATTTCCCAACTTCAGAGCAGATAACACAATTGCAGACTTTGCAGGAATAAGTAAATTGAAACAAAAAGCGGGGGGGAAAGAGTGTGTTTCTAATACTCAGTTTGTTTCAAAAGATTTCTCTCACTCTGCCCCAGCTGTACATCTTACAGACGGCATCACAGTTGCTGTGTGAGGACTTGGTCTTCTTGCAGTTATTACTCAGCTCTCTCTTTGAGGTGGTGTTTATGAAAAAGATCCCACGTCTGAGAACCTCTGCTTCTTTTTGTAATCTTAAATTCCACCCACGTGCATACAAACAAAAAACAAACCCCTTTTAATGTCATGTTATACATGCAAGGAGTCCCATCCTTCCTGTCACCAGCTCATTGCCTGCTAGCTCTGCTTCGAAGGTAGTGAAGTTTCTCAGATGTTATTGTAGCTTGGGGGCAGATAGTTAAGGCTCGTTCCTATCCTTGCCTGAGCCCTTAACAGGGTTTGTTTTTTATTATAAAGCACAACCTTGGAAGGCCTCTGCTGCCCCATCTCCACCCACCCCTGAGTGTTACCACCAGAGTGCTTTAAGATGGTCAGAATCATGTCACTCAGTTTTTCCTGCTATGTGTTTACATACAGCTGCTGTTACCTGGGCTGTAGCTGGCTGTGTTTTTTTCTGAATACTTGGGTACTTAAGACTGACTAAATGTTTGGGCCTTGATGCCCATATTAACCCTCCTTCCTGACATGTCAAGGTGGTATGGAAGCATCAGGATATAATACAGTATGTCAGACGTGGCATCAGGACAAAGTAAAGGGTGTTTCAGGATCTCTGGCCCAGATGGCTTACGGTGCTTTGCTCTGCTTGCTCAAGATGACAAGAGACAATAAGAGAGCACACAAACTCTGTCCCAGTTTTAATGGTTTTCTCAATCAGCCCCAGTATAAAGGGTTCTATTAAAGCAGTTCAGAGATTGCCTCTAGTTTTATAAACTCTCTATGGCCTTATGTGTTTGGAGACAGGAATAGCTTGTGTTAAGGTTAAAATTAAATTAAAAGTGATTAGTTTTCTTCATTACTGAGGAAGAGAAAGATCTGACAGGGATTAAGACAGATCCCAGTTACCCCTTCCCCTTTTTCTTTTTTTCTAGTTTTAAGTCATTGTTAGCAAATCAGGGATACAGCAGCTGATATACCAGTGTTAGTAATACATTGATTAAAGATTGACATATCCAAATGCTTGTCTGGTTTTTCCAGCTGTCAAGCAAAAATTATATGCCTTCCCTACAAGTCTTGCCTTGAGTAAGCACGTCTTGAGGATGTGTGTGGTTTCATTGGCTGGTGTAGCCATGAGAATAGAGATGAGCTGTTTTGTGCTCCTGTATCCACTTAAAGCACTGTAATTACCTTGGCACATTCCCTGAGCATGAATGCATTATGAAGGCCCATCTGCTGGTTCTCTTTATTGATGTAGATTTTGGGGAAAGATGATCAACCAATATGAAACATTCTTATGCTGGAATGGTGGCTTACGGGTTTGAGATTGTTCTAGCTTTGTTATATTTTTGGAGTGGGGGAAACCCAAACCCAAAACTAACCCCCAAATCTTACTTCTATTCAGAGTAATTAAACCGTGTGTTGATTAGGTCTGAAGTATACCTGTTATTGCTGCTTCTCTATGCAGGTATTTTGCTTACACACAATTGAATGTTTGTGTGGGTAGGTTCAGATTCAGTGAAGAAGCTGGTAACAAAGTAGTAGTAACAGCAGAGCTAAGGACTTTTCATTATTTCTATTAACATGTCAATTTTTTTTTTGTAGAATGAAATGTGTCTTGCCACACAACAGCTTTCAAAGCAGCTCCTTGCCTATGAAAAGCAGGTATGTCCAGCATATGACTTTGATTTCTTTTTTGCCTCAGCACTTGTGAAGAATTCTGTGTAAATAATGTGTGTTCCAGAAGTGCTCAGGGCATTCGCTTTACTTAGTTTCATGTGAAGGCTGTTGTGAAATTCCCCAGGATGTTGAAGGGAGTTAGGTCATTCTTGAAAATCTTAAAAAACCCCAACCAACCAAAGAAAACCCCCCAAAAAGGTGCAAAATGTGAGTTAATAATCTTATCAAGATACAAACCAGTTTGCTCCTGTTACATGACTGTGACTTTAAAATGACTATAATAAGAATTAAGTGTTGTCCAAAATCCATTTAATTTAAAACAAGAAGAACAGGGTAAAAGGATGTGTATTAATGAGTTTCTGTTTTTTAATTTAGTTTTATCATTTATTGCATTTTGTAGGAGTATTCATTAGCTTTGTAGTAAAATACGTGTTGTATTTTATACTCACCTTTATTGATTTACAGACCAAATATGTGTTTCTATTTCCAGCATTTTGCCTTAGGCAAAGGAGATGAAGAAGTGATATCTACCCTTCATTATTTTTCAAAAGTTGTGGATGAGGTAATTTGAGTTGCTAATATTCTATTCTTACAATATAGAATATTAGGAGTTTTTCTTTGAGTCTGTCCTTTTGATTCTGANTTGCTCAAGACAGTTGAGAGTGAACAATACTGTGTAAATTATCTCATTGGAAAGGGGTGCTTTTAATGCAGTCTGACATTAGAGAAGTAAAGTGAGCAAGCAGTGGTGTTTGACCCAGAGTCCTTAACATGGTTTGAATTACTGTAGTCAGCAGGCAGATATTCAGGATTTTTTACATTCCTAATTATGTTGGAAGGACTGTCTGTTAGCTGGAGCAAGAGACTGGGAGTCAGGATTTGGCCATAGCATTTTATCACTTCTCCTCCTTATGTCTCAGTTTACCTATCCATAATACAAGAAATAATTTCTATGTGTTTCAAGATTCTGAATAAACAAAATCAAGCAAAGGTAAAGGCTTATTATTTCTGATTGATTTTTATTTTTTGCTGTGATTTGCTTATGATTCTTTTTAATATTTCCACTCAGGATTAAAACCATTTGCTTTTTTTTTTCTTTTGTTGAAGACTCGGTCTTTGCTCAGTGTGTTTGAAGAAGATGCAGGAACCCTTACTGAATATACAAACCAGTTGCTTCAGGCAATGCAACGAGTCTATGGTGCTCAGGTAATTTTTCACTTGTGTTTCTTTTGTTCACGGTGGAGTAGAAGATGAATTGCTATTATGATGCTGTTATTTACATGAGAGTTGCCAAGTACCTGTACCTCTTGTGGTTTAAGGGGAGTAGTGGGTGTTTTTCATCTGGTATCTCAGCCCCTTCCCTCCTTAATGCTCAGAAAAGTCATATTTATGAAAAAGATCTTGTTTTCTTTGTCTGTCTCCAAGCAATTCGTGAAAGTAAAATTGTGGTATGTCCTTACCTTAGGGTGCATTGAAAGGCCAGTCTTGACAGAATTGCTTACCTAAATGTAAACACAATACACAGGTACTCACACTGACTTTAGGCACCTAACTTAGATGCTGTGACTCACCTTTTGGAGGGAACTGTCTGTGTCTATTGATTACAGAGAGAATGTGCACTTTGGATCATACTGAAGTCAAGTACCTACAGTAACCAGAGTGAAAAGTATGGGAGCAGGAGCAGAAAAAATAACATTTTTCTAAAGTACTTACATGACCTAGATGACTGAATCCCCTCGAAATTATATCCAGTGCTTTGGAAAAGGTTACTGTAAATCTGAGTGATTTTCAGTGACACTGATTCCCATGTGCGTAAAACTCGATATTTCAAAATACCCTATCTAGGTCTTGAAAGACATACACAGTGTGTCATGGAATTTTTGCAAGTATTTATGTAGGTTAGATACCTGAGTTCCCTAGAAACAGCTTTTCTATTCTTAAACCAGTAAATCAGAGTACACAGAGAGATGAGGACAATGGGGATATTTTGAATTTACCGGAAGAGTGCCTGATTCTGATTCTTATATTAGGAATCAGTTCAGCTATAAAACTACTCCAAGTATGTGTCCATTTGGTGGGACTATGCTTTGAGTGACTGATAGTTTGACTTGGAAGAACTAATTTCCCAGGATCTAGTGACCTACACCTGGAAGATCCAGCTTTGGCGAGCTTCAAAGTCTTCATGTCGTGGATCTTGTGCAAATGCAGAGCAATCAGAGGCTTACAGCACAGCTTAGGTACATAGAAAACAATGCAGCACATAGCCAGGGGCTGGAGAGGTGACATGAAATCAGCACTGAAAGTCAGTGGTGGGCATTTTGGGAGAGTCTTTTTAAGAGCAGGAAGAGTATGGGCATGTTGGATAGTAGGAATCTGACACCAAAGATCAGGTAGGATTGAAACAGATGAAAGAAGAAACTCAGAAGATACATTTGATTTTCAAGGGTCCAGTACATGTCTTTTTCCCCTGCTAATGACGTCTTAGGGTGGCATTTTAGGAAGTGGTTACTCTGATCTGTGATTTAAGAAAAAAAACTTTATCTGCTTTTGTTTGCCTCTTCCTTTTCATCTTGGTTTTTAGCCTTCTCTATTTCTCTTGTTCCACGGTTATGACATTTCCTCTTTCTTCTCACTGTCACAGCACATTTACCCATCTGTATTTTGCAGTACTACTGAGTCTGCTTCATTTTCCCAGCACTTCTTGGCCACTTCTTTCCTGAACACTGCTTTAGTTTGATATATTCAGTCACTTGTGAGTATTGAAATATGTCTTCAGAGTTTTATGCCATTTTGAGAAGTAGAAATAGAAGGGTAATGCTGAATTGCCTACTAAACCTAAATGGACAGTTAAGAAAAATCTGTGTGTAATATTTCTTGGCTGGCTAATCACAACTTGAGAGAAAAAGAATTTTTGTTGTGTTGTTAGGACACACATTGTCTGGACCTCAGGAGCAGCATGTGCTACCAACCCTGTAAAAGCTGAGAGTATGGAGAAATCAGTTTCTGAATTTGCCTTTTTATTTTCCTGACTTAAATTTTCTCTCTGCAAAGTCAAATTTTCTCTTTGCAAAGTCATTGCAATCCCCTGCTCTGATTTCCCTTTCTGTAAAATAGGAATTACAGTTACTGACCTACTTTAAGGCAATGACCATAAAAATGACTGGAATCACAGTCGTGGCAGTCAGACAAAGCAGTGAGTTGTACTAGTCCACAGTTTTGGAAATTAAGGGTTTACAACCCCTCAAAACACTTATGACAGTTTTAAAAATGTTAATTTTGTTTTCTTCCTAACTTTGTTCTGAACTGTAACATTTCCTAGATGTCTTACCACGTTTTCAAGATCCTTTTGGAGTAGTTTACTAGAACCTTGGTGTCTCTTGTGATGAAAACTCAAATTTTCATGTAATTCAAACCACTGTAGCTTGTGATCAAATAACAATAGTTAATGGTTCTGAATGGATTCAGTGCAAAGTCTCAGGGAAGTAGTAATTATTACCAACTGCATGCTGCTAATTATCCTTGTGGATATATGCATATAGTTGTCTCAAAACACTGCTTTGTGTGTAGAGCAGCAGTAAACTTGTAAATTGACAGCTCAAGCTGCTTTGAACACTTTGATCAGCGAATTTGAAAGCAGTGTGAAAGAGAAATATTTGCCCAGAGTTTTTAAAAACCCTTAGGAAAATGGGAATCTTTTAAAACATCTTTTCAGACTTATGTGTATTCAAGCAGGACTTCAAGACTGTAAGGAGGGATCTGCAGCATCCTATCACAGGGTGTAGCACTGGATATGCTGCTCAGGCACCTGGAGCTGTTGGACATGGAAGGGCCAATAACAGACAGGCTGGAGTTGGATGATCCATTGCCAGCAGGTTGCCTTTGGGTGCAAGGCCCTCAGAATGTCATGAGCCTCTGATTGCTCTGCAGGATGAGGACAGTGCTCTCACCTCTTTGGGCACCCATACCAGGTGTGACGGAGTGGTGACTCCCTCCTGCACATGGAGATCTTTAGTGAAAAAGAGGCTGTGATGCTGCGAGGCAGATGCAGTATATGATGCCATGACTGGGGAGAAGTCACAGGAACCAAAAGCAGTGCTTGAGGAGTGAGGTTTGGTTGATCTGGCAAACCCACGTGTGTAAATACAGTGAAGCATTTTTATGTTCATCAAATAAAGCACATCCTTGTGAGTATATGTTATACTTCCTTCTGCGTTGTGGTACCCTGAAGTAATCATGATATCGGTCTTGCAGAGTTCATTCCTGTAGTTCTTCCTCCTTGCAGGCAAGCCCTGATGCTGCGTCTGGCATTACTGCTGAGTTCTGTGAATGTTGTGTTTGTCATTCTGTACATTTTATTACCTGACCAATATATAATGCAGCAAACAAAGACTGTTAAAAAATTCAGTTTACTCAAGTTACAGTGCTGAGGCTCTTGCAATGGTGTATGAGCAAAGTGTGCACAGTTTACCTTCCTGACTTACCACTGTCATAGTAAGGGATTTTCAGAGCTTTACTATTATTTCCAGTTCTCCATCATGCTGTAGAAATGGCTGAGCTGGGATCTTCACTTGAAACAAAATGCCATTTAGCAAAGACAGGAGACTGTTGTGTCTCTACTGACTATTAGAAGGGATAAACAGTTAAGCAGGTTAAAGGAAAGTAAGATGCAGTGTTTTGTCACTGTAAATAGGTTTCATGTCATGAGTCCAGACAAATCTGTCTAGATACGAGGGGCAGTGATAACCGAAGGGGAGTAAAAAGAAACACATGCTGTCTTTATAGATACATTTGGAGAGGGGACAGCATGGGAATTGTGAAGTGTAATTCTGTTCAGCATCTGTATCTCTGTGAGCAGTTGTCTTGTAATTCCAGAGTCACACAGGTAAAGCTGCAACAACCTCTGGGGCTCACTGCCTTTTTATGTCCAGACTCTTAAGGAAACTCTTGACAATTATGGAATAGTCTTGGTTTATAGGTACCACATTACATGGGAATCAGGACAGCTTGAATCTGTCCAGGGCTGTTTTAGGTAGTGCTTCATAACAGTGTTACTTCTCTCCACAAATTCAGGACACCTCATGTCTGCATTTTTCTACAGTGCTGCTTGTTTCATTTTCCTGTGCATTGACTTCACTAGGCTGTGACTCAGTAGATAGGTGTCAGGCTCTCTAGGGTATGCATGAATTTTTATATTTATTATGTTGTAGAGCTAACTCCAAGTGTTCAGGGTTCTTAAATTAGTTCTTGCTTAAATAGCAAGTAAGCACCGATACAGTTTTTCTTTTAATTGCTTTCTTTTAATGTGTAAGGGAACTATTGTGTTCCCTTTTCAAATTATAAGACTTTTTTTTTCCCAAAACCTTTTAAGGAATAAAATTTAAGTTAGCATTTTGTAAACTTGTGGTTCCACATAGAGGAGCTTCAATAGATAGTAGAAAGGATAAACATTTGCAATAAACTGCAGTTGTCAACACTGACTTCTGTGAAGTCCTGTATTTTTGTTCCATATTCATTGTAAGTATGCATCATATATCTCTTACCTTCCTGAGGCCTGTTCAGCAT